TGTTGTGAACTGTGTTGTGAACTGTGCTGTGAACTGTGTTGTGAACTGTGCTGTGAACTGTGTTGTGAACTGTGCTGTGAACTGTGTTGTGAACTGTGTTGTGAACTGTGCTGTGAACTGTGTTGTGAACTGTGCTGTGAACTGTGTTGTGAACTGTGCTGTGAACTGTGTTGTGAACTGTGTTGTGAACTGTGTTGTGAACTGTGTTGTGAACTGTGTTGTGAACTGTGCTGTGAACTGTGTTGTGAACTGTGCTGTGAACTGTGTTGTGAACTGTGCTGTGAACTGTGTTGTGAACTGTGCTGTGAACTGTGTTGTGAACTGTGCTGTGAACTGTGTTGTGAACTGTGTTGTGAACTGTGTTGTGAACTGTGTTGTGAACTGTGTTGTGAACTGTGTTGTGAACTGTGTTGTGAACTGTGTTGTGAACTGTGTTGTGAACTGTGCTGTGAACTCTGTTGTGAACTGTGCTGTGAACTGTGTTGTGAACTGTGCTGTGAACTGTGTTGTGAACTGTGTTGTGAACTGTGTTGTGAACTGTGTTGTGAACTGTGTTGTGAACTGTGTTGTGAAGTGTGTTGTGAACTGTGTTGTGAACTGTGCTGTGAACTGTGTTGTGAACTGTGCTGTGAACTGTGTTGTGAACTGTGCTGTGAACTGTGTTGTGAACTGTGTTGTGAACTGTGCTGTGAACTGTGTTGTGAACTGTGCTGTGAACTGTGTTGTGAACTGTGCTGTGAACTGTGTTGTGAACTGTGTTGTGAACTGTGTTGTGAACTGTGTTGTGAACTGTGCTGTGAACTGTGTTGTGAACTGTGCTGTGAACTGTGTTGTGAACTGTGTTGTGAACTGTGCTGTGAACTGTGTTGTGAACTGTGTTGTGAACTGTGTTGTGAACTGTGTTGTGAACTGTGTTGTGAACTGTGTTGTGAACTGTGTTGTGAACTGTGCTGTGAACTGTGTTGTGAACTGTGCTGTGAACTGTGTTGTGAACTGTGTTGTGAACTGTGTTGTGAACTGTGTTGTGAACTGTGTTGTGAACTGTGTTGTGAACTGTGTTGTGAACTGTGTTGTGAACTGTGTTGTGAACTGTGCTGTGAACTGTGTTGTGAACTGTGCTGTGAACTGTGTTGTGAACTGTGCTGTGAACTGTGTTGTGAACTGTGTTGTGAACTGTGTTGTGAACTGTGTTGTGAACTGTGTTGTGAACTGTGTTGTGAACTGTGTTGTGAACTGTGTTGTGAACTGTGCTGTGAACTGTGTTGTGAACTGTGCTGTGAACTGTGTTGTGAACTGTGCTGTGAACTGTGTTGTGAACTGTGTTGTGAACTGTGCTGTGAACTGTGTTGTGAACTGTGCTGTGAACTGTGTTGTGAACTGTGCTGTGAACTGTGTTGTGAACTGTGTTGTGAACTGTGTTGTGAACTGTGTTGTGAACTGTGCTGTGAACTGTGTTGTGAACTGTGCTGTGAACTGTGTTGTGAACTGTGTTGTGAACTGTGCTGTGAACTGTGTTGTGAACTGTGTTGTGAACTGTGTTGTGAACTGTGTTGTGAACTGTGTTGTGAACTGTGCTGTGAACTGTGTTGTGAACTGTGCTGTGAACTGTGTTGTGAACTGTGCTGTGAACTGTGTTGTGAACTGTGTTGTGAACTGTGTTGTGAACTGTGCTGTGAACTGTGTTGTGAACTGTGTTGTGAACTGTGTTGTGAACTGTGTTGTGAACTGTGCTGTGAACTGTGTTGTGAACTGTGCTGTGAACTGTGTTGTGAACTGTGCTGTGAACTGTGTTGTGAACTGTGTTGTGAACTGTGTTGTGAACTGTGTTGTGAACTGTGTTGTGAACTGTGTTGTGAAGTGTGTTGTGAACTGTGTTGTGAACTGTGCTGTGAACTGTGTTGTGAACTGTGCTGTGAACTGTGTTGTGAACTGTGCTGTGAACTGTGTTGTGAACTGTGTTGTGAACTGTGTTGTGAACTGTGTTGTGAACTGTGCTGTGAACTGTGTTGTGAACTGTGTTGTGAACTGTGTTGTGAACTGTGTTGTGAACTGTGTTGTGAACTGTGTTGTGAACTGTGCTGTGAACTGTGTTGTGAACTGTGTTGTGAACTGTGTTGTGAACTGTGCTGTGAACTGTGTTGTGAACTGTGCTGTGAACTGTGTTGTGAACTGTGCTGTGAACTGTGTTGTGAACTGTGTTGTGAACTGTGTTGTGAACTGTGTTGTGAACTGTGCTGTGAACTGTGTTGTGAACTGTGTTGTGAACTGTGTTGTGAACTGTGTTGTGAACTGTGCTGTGAACTGTGTTGTGAACTGTGCTGTGAACTGTGTTGTGAACTGTGCTGTGAACTGTGTTGTGAACTGTGTTGTGAACTGTGTTGTGAACTGTGTTGTGAACTGTGCTGTGAACTGTGTTGTGAACTGTGCTGTGAACTGTGTTGTGAACTGTGTTGTGAACTGTGTTGTGAACTGTGTTGTGAACTGTGCTGTGAACTGTGTTGTGAACTGTGTTGTGATCTGTGTTGTGAACTGTGTTGTGAACTGTGTTGTGAACTGTGTTGTGAACTGTGCTGTGAACTGTGTTGTGAACTGTGTTGTGAACTGTGCCTGGCCCAGCCCTGTGTGGTGTGGCTGCAGCCTGCAGGCGGAGCCTGCTGCGTTAGGGAGCAACATTCAGCACACTCATTCACCTCCTGTGTCGCACTTTCTCCCCCCATTCTACCTCTCATCGTTTTGCCTCCCCATCTCCTTCCCAGCGATTTGGCGGACAATAATTTCCATGGGTTGATTCCACCTGAACTGTTTCAACTGCCTCAGCTGTTATCACTGTGAGTTTCCCTAGGAAGCCACACAGCTCACATGGCCCTCCCCCCTTTTTCTCTCACTCGCGACCATCTCTTTCATTAGATTCCCTCTCTCTCGTTCGTCTCCCTCCCTCCCTCGTTAATCTTTCCTCACCCTCCTCTCCCTTCGTCGTCTCTCTCCTTCCCGCTTACACTTCTCTCACTCCCTACATCTCCCCGCTCGTTTGGCTTTCCTTTTTCCCCAACCAGATGCGGATGTCGTGGGAGAGAGGCAACTGTGAAAGTTCCTCCTCCTATATCCTATATGCATACCCATCTTCCCTTCCCTCCCTCCTCCCTCTTCCCTCCCCCCCCCTTTCCCCTCTCCCCGCCTACCTCCTCTCCCCTCTCCCATGCTGCCCTGCTGCAGGCAACTGGGGAGCAACTTCTTTTCAGGTGTTCTTCCAGTGCCAATTGTCGCGTCACCCACTCTTAAACTTCTGTGAGAACTGTAACGTGCTCTCAACCCTTTCACAGATGTGCGGTGTACCCCATCCAAGCCAAGTGCCAAGTCCATGCCGTGCTTGTTTTCCCAAGTTCTGTGCCTCTGCATTGCTTACACCCATCCCATCACCTGCTGATTCTGTGGTCTCGTGTGCTCGCCCCCTTTCAGTGGTTTGCCTCTGTAAAGCTCCACCCCTCTTGTGCTCTGCCATTGTTTGCTCTGCTGTCTGCTGTGCTGTAGTGCTCTGGACGGAAACGGCCTTACAGGCATGTTGCCGGACTTTGCTCGCTGGAATGTCAGCATCAGGAGCTTGTACGTCAGCCTATTTTCTCTCTCTCTCGAACGGTCCTTTGTAATTATGCGATGACAATTACAGGCAAGGCATTCATCCTTAGCTAGATACTAGTCATGAGCCACAGTTGGAGGCTCGAGCTAACGGCTCTGGACATCATCTTGGCTCGTCACTGTGCCGAGCCGGCGATTCGTTCGACCGCTTCCTGAGCCTCCGGCTCAAATCATCCACCAACCGGCTTGACTATCCGATACGACTGCACTCCCTCTGGAGCTGGAGTGTGTTTCTGTGAGGTGTCATAGGTAACCCTTACGCGATAGCTCTGGCATATTGGTGGCTATGGCTGGGTCTATCTTGCAGTGCAAGGCATTGTCATGAGCCGTCTGGGGGGTAATGGTCGTGTCCTGGCAGAACCTGTGAAAGAGATTTGCTGCCTCAGCGAAGGTTGAGCTGGTTCGGAAATGTTTCAAGGAAGGCGAACTGGGCGCATGTCCGGAGGTACTCAAACACCACGAACGAGCTGCTGCTGTGGTGAAAGAAACTGAATCCGTGATTGCATCCAGAAGGGAAGAGTGAGAGTGAGTGTGTAGTATTTGGGGAATGGGGTAGAGTCTTGTAAGGAGGGTGGCACAAAGGAGAGTTTATCTCCAGAGAGATGGAGGGGTGGAGGCATGAGTGAAGAGACGACAATCAATCTCCATGATCTGACGAATGCGAATTTCACCAACGTCGTTCTGCTGCAGAGTGGAAAAAGGTGTAGGCTTGCTGAGTGACAAGTTCCTCGTAGTGGGAGGCGAGGGTATGGCTGAGGAATTTACCACCGCCTTCCAAAGGAAGCCGGCAAATTGGATGGTTCTAGTAAACGTGTGCCTGCTTAGCCCAGGCGAGGATGGCAGCAGCAGGTGGTTCGGATTTATTGAGGATGGGTAAACCTGATGAATAGCGACTCAATGGTCGTTAATAAGAACAATGGCCCAAAGTGATGACGCAATGGTTCTTGTGGACAAGGTCGAGTAGGCTAATTAGAGCACGAAGTTTGTGATGCGGGACCCGTTTTTTTATACGAGGGCTGCCATCAATGTTTGTGCCCCTCATAATCTAACAACCATTGCATTGCACGTGTGTTCTTCAGGGCTCTCAGCAACAACAACTTCACTGGATCTATTCCCAATTCCATTTCCACACTTACTAATCTTGATTCGATGTAATCTTATGCACTCACATTGCGTTCATCATCAGTGTTCGTAGCATGATCCTCGCATGGTGTAGGAATTTTCCAAGGATTCGTTTGCCAATATGCCATCGTGTGGGTTTCGCTATGTGATCAAAAATTGCCATACAATAGGAGCTAATACTAGCAGCATGTGTGCGCATTACACTCTGAGTCTCTACCACATGCCGCGTTTTAGCGTCACACCTCATGTCATGCCTTGCTTGTCCATACAGCATCCTCAACAACAACCAGCTCTCGGGCTCCATTCCAACTTCCATCTTCAACATGACCAACCTCAGGTTCCTGTGAGTGGCAACTCCCTGTCATCATCAACTATTAATCACTGCCTTGGGGTGTTGGTCATCATACACAATACACACCTGGTACCTGCGCCGCACACTTGCACTCTCCTGTTCTCTCACTTACACCGATGCAATATACCTGCTTCTCTTTCTGACCCTATTCTTCTCCCTCGCATCCACCGCTTTCCCCCATGATGCCTCGCCGTTTTCTCCCACACCACGCCTCCCTTACAAATGGCTTCCTCGTTTACATGTTTCTGTGGCGGCCCCCTCTTGCAGCTATTTGGCCAACAACCATCTGAGCGGCAGTCTACCATCTGACATCAGCCGACTGGAGAAGCTGGAGCAGCTGTGAGACACCTCTCCTCCTCTGCTTCCCGCCCCCGTCCCTCCGTGTTTCCTCCATCCGTACACCAACCTGAGTGCCTGAGTCCCTCGCTCTGTCAATTCATCCATGCTTTCATGCAGGCATCCAGAGCCTTTCTTGCTACACCCACACCACATGTGCCATATTCGGTCCCTGCGTGCCACCCCACAGCTGGCTGGATAACAACAACATTGAGGGCCCTCTGCCATCTGTCATCTGCTCAATTCCCTGGCTGTGGCGCATGTGAGTGGCTGTGGCGCATGTGAGTGGCTGTGGAGTAGCGCATGTGACCTTCTCGTTTACCCCAGACTCAACACCCTCCCCTCTTCCCAGACTCCTCATCTCTGTCGAATCCCATTTGCATGATGCCATTTTTTGCACTCCCCATAGTCATCCATCACATTCCCTTGATATGTATGTCCTTGATGCACGAGACCTATGGTGTCTGTGTGCGATGTGGTGGCAGCATGGTAAGCAACAACCGCCTCTATGGACCCCTTCCAGACTGCCTTTTCAACAAATGTGTGAACCAAATGTGAGTTCAAAGTTATTACCAGCATGTTACACGATATGGATACATGCAATGCAACTTATAGGCAATCTAGAGTCAAGATGCAGCATAGGTCACATCAGCACCAGCAGCTCCAATTATGTCGCAACAGCCAACTAAGTTGCACGAGTCAGTCAACAGCCAATAAGGTGAGTACTTAGCGTCACTAACAGCGTAACTTCAGCCAACAGCGTCACGAACTTCAGCTCAGTCTTGTCCTGCCCAGCCTCTCCACTTCTCAATCGACTCAAATGAGTTTGCTGTTGCCCATTAGTCAGGTCATGCTGTAAATTGAGCATCATATCGCTCTTGCTGCTCTTTCTGCTCTAGCATGTATCAGCTTGGATATCACTTCAATGTTGTGAAAGCCACTCATTCTGTACGGATAGTATCAAGTAGTTCTGGGTTTCAGCATGTTGATACCCAATCAGGTCTGTGTGCTGCTGTGCTTTGTAGCTTCTTCTTTACGCATGCTCCTACCAGTGGTTTTTTTGTTGAATTGGTTAGCTAACCATACCTGGACGAAATATGACTATCCAGGATGCACGGACCTGAGGAGATGAAGCTGACCGTGGAACAAGAATGATGGTAAAGCTGGTCCTAGGTTAAGAAATGAAGGGAAGTGGAGGAGGTGTGCAGAAATGGAGAACAATTTGGTTGAAATGTGGAGATTTGAAATGTCAAGGGGAGTTAGGTCTAGTCAGTCAGGTATGTGTTCAAGAACTTCCAAGTTCGAACTCGCTGCGTGTTCAGTGCACGGCTGGAATAAGAGAATGCGATTTGTATAACTTAGCTCGAAGCTGCGCGCGACACAAGGGGCAGAATCAGAAATTGAGTTCGCTGTAAGTAGTCTTTCTATTCTCTGCTTTGTATGCCTTGTTCCCAAATATTTCTCTTTTTATATCTTCAGTCTATATATTGTCTATATATCCCTTTAGTTTTGAGGCCACAGCTTTGTAGGGTTGCTGCAATGCCTAAGGATGGTCTCCATAGCCTAGACAAAGGCTGCGCACGTACAACATTTCCTAAGGATAGACTCCACAAAGCAATTGACCTCGCACAATGTGCGTTGCTCCCATAACCATCCCCAACCCTTCCAAACCACAGCGATGTGAGCAACAACAGCCTGTACGGGCGCATCAACCGCAACTTCAAGAACATGGTGGCGGATGGCGATGCCCTCATCAACTTGGGTCACAACTTCTTCTTCGGTGATGCCGTGCTCTTTGCTGCCGGCTGCCAGGTCTGCCCCGTTGACATCACCGAGCCCAACATCCTGGACATAGCGGATACCAGTTCTGGCCAAGGGGCCGGGAAGTGCATTATTGGCATAACATCCATGAAAGATTACTCAGTTGCCGGGGCAGGCAAGGGTGCGAGGGTGAGTCTGTCAGGCAACTGCCTGATGCTCAGCCCGGATGCAGATTGCCCTTCCAACGCCACCCAGCGCAGCACGGCAGCCTGCCAGGCGTTCTGCAGCATCACGGACAACGGCCCGTGTGACGGCCATGGGGAGTGTGTGCCGCCTGCACCCGCCTCCACCTCCACCTTCACCTGCCTCTGTGATGCCGGCTACTCAACTATCAATATGGGCAATGGCTCCACCTGTGCCATTGTCAACTCCACCACCACCACCACCAGTGGTGAGCCCTGCTGAAATTTATTGCGGCATTTGAAGATGTTCTTGTGTTGCCCCATATCATGGGAGTGTTCTTACCCAGAACATATGTCTCCCTTTTTCACCCTCGTCATTCGCCTTTCCTCCCCAAAACCCTCTTCCTTCATCCTTTCATTTCCTAAACCCCCCTCCCCACTTCATTATCCCAATCCCCTCACCTGGCACTCCTAACCCTCCTCATCTCACCGTTCCTTCTTTCCCCTGCCATGGCAGTGTCCTCTCTGTCCACGGGCGCCATAGTGGGCATTGCTGTGGGCTGCTTTGCTGGCTCCACTCTACTGGCTGCTGTGGTTGCCTGGCTTCTGTGGCCCCGCCGACCAAGTGAGCCCCTCAACCCTTGTTCCATTCAGTCTCTCCTTTTAGTACACCTCTTTCCCAGCCTCCTCCTCTGCCCCCCTGCTCTGCCACCGTGCGTGCACTAAAAATCGTCCCTCGTGCCCCTCGTGCCCTGTCTAATCATCTACACCCTTGATTGGTCACCCATCCAATCTGTCTCTGTGTGTATGCACAGAGAAGTGGGAGGGACTGGATGTTTGTGAGCAGTTCTCGCTGCAGCAGATGGTGAGGGCCACCAACAACTGGTCGGACGACAATGTGCTGGGCAAGGGTGGCTTTGGCATTGTCTACAAAGGCTGCTCGCCACACGGCCAGCTGTGGGCCATCAAGCGCTCCAAAATTATGACCAACGACTTTGAGACGGAGGTGAGGCACAGTCCGTGTACCAGCCTCTTCCACACATGGTGAATTCAGTGCTCACCATCCATGTGCATGTACCTGTGGAATATGACTTGCCTGCAGGTGCGAGCAATGGCTTCTCTCCACCACTCCCATCTCGTTCGCCTGCTGGGCTTCTGTCTGGACCAAAACGTGGAGACGGGCAAGCAGGAGCAGATCCTGGTGTACGAGTTTGTGGGCAACAGGGACCTCGAGTACCATATCTATAAAACCAAAAGTGCGTTCCAATGGCTTATTAAAACGGTTGCCGGGAAATTGCTGTCTGTTGGAGAACATGCCACCGTTAATTCACAAGCATGTGTTATACTCGGCTTTCATCTTCTCCCCTGCAGGTCCCCTCTCGCTGCGTCAGAGGTTGCGCCTGGCACAGGGAGCAGCAGAGGGGCTGGCATACCTGCACGGGTTTGAGACACCCATCGTTCACCGCGACATCAAACCGGCCAACATCCTTGTGACTGCCGACTTTCAAGCCAAGGTGGCTGACTTTGGGCTGCTCAAGCTCCTCACTCATGGCGATGCTGATGCCACGCGAGTGGCCGGCACTCCGGGCTATGTGGATCCGGATTACAACCAAACCAGCGTCATCACTGCCAAGAGTGATGTGAACAGGTCAGCATGCTTTTTGTTTCTGTATATATGGAGCCTTTGATACTTCAATATCCTGATTGTGATTTCTATCCAGTTACATGTACTATGCATCACGATTTCCTGGCGTTTTCCCCTCCGTCCAATCTCGTGGTTGCTTGCAGCTTTGGTGTCGTGCTCATGGAGCTGCTCAGTGGAATGTCACCTCAAGACACCAATGAATCTCACATGAGAGAATGGGTAAGCTCATCAATGTCAAAGCTGTCTCTGACCTCGTTCCCGCACAAAGACTTCATATTCCGTGCTGACTTTTGCTGCCATTGCCTGTTGACACGCTCCTTTGTCTCCCAGGCAAGAAAGAAGATGGAGGCGTTTCAACTGGATGATCTCAAGGACAGCAGGATGCCGGAGGTGAGCAGGGAGGCCGTTGTAGACATTGCAGACCTGGCTCTGGACTGCATGAAGTCGCCAGGCACACGGCGCCCCAGCATGAAAGAGGTGGCATACCGCCTCAATGCGCTTATTGAGAAGCACTGCCCTGACAAGGAGAAAGAGGATGATTCGGGGAGTCTCGGGGAAGAAGAGAGTGCAAGCAGCGGAGGCTTCTCGTCGAAGAACGTTTCTTCTATGCTATTTGGAGACGGTGGGAGGGATTCTCAGAGGTCTACTGGCTCGCGTCCTAGTGCGATCTCATCCAGGAGCATTGGCTCGACGCCTGATGGCGTTAGGAGCTGGCTGCATCTGACGCCCAGTAGGGGGTACTGAACTGGCACATCATGGCTAGATTTTGTCCGTTGTGAGTGCAGGTCCCAGGGCGAGGTTGTAAATTTGACTACGTGCTGTATTCTTTGTGGGCGGTTGTGATGACGCACATTGTGTCCTTGGTAGCTTGAGTCGTGGCTGCTGAGTATACCTATTACCTAATACTGTTGTGCCTTACTGTTAGAGAAAAAAACTCAGATTCTGCTATCCTTACCTCACTAATTTCAGCCCTACTGAGAAAGCTTCAGGTGCCTGGGTGGCACCTGATGATTTCTCAGGTTCTGCTCCAGAAATCGCACCCTCCCGGACTTCCATTGACACTGACTCTACCTCCCCCCTCCTGTACCACAGCTCCATGGTATGACCCTGGCAGGTCGACACTCTTGAGCAATCCCGGCACAAGTGCCCTTTCTGAGAAAGGCTTTCTCCCTGCAGACGTCGCAGGTCTTCTCTCCAGTGCTGTGGCGCCCGGCTTCTCCACTTTAAAGTACCCCTTCCTCGCTGACATCTGTGCTGCTCAGGCCTCTTTTGAGAATTCTCAAAAGTGGCTTCTGAGACTTCTCAAAGACTTCCCCACTTTGAAGCACCTCTTCCTCGCTGGCATCTGTGCTGCTCACGCCTCCGGCCCTCTGCCGCGGCCCAGGTTGGGTGCTGCAGTGCAGCTCCGTGAAGAGGCTTCTTTCCTCCTCCACTTCCTTGGCAGCTTGGTACAATTGACGACGCAGCTCGGCCTCAGCCCGCAATGCGTACAGCCGCGGCCTCATGCCGCTCACCATGCCCTCATCCAGCCCAGACCTGGCTCCGCTCCACCAGGCAGGCGCTTGTAACTCCACCAGTATACTCTTCCCTTCGAACTCACACTTGGTCTTTTCCCATCGGAACTCCAGCCCAGCAGCCCCTCCTCCAAGTTTTTGGAAAACCAGTCACTCATCCCCTCTACTGCAAGTCTACGCTATTCTCTACAGGTCCAAGGCAGTGGTTCAAGAAAGGCATCTCATGCTAGTACCTCAGTATACGTCCGTAAGTTAATACACCCCATAAGGTTTCCTTATGCGATATAACGATGAACTTCCCTTTTTTTGGGCACGATTTAACCATCGACCCAAATCCTTGCTCTTGCATCCACCCGCACCCTGTTCCGCCCCATCGATCGCTTTCCACATGTGGGCATGCCTGCAGGGATGCATCTAAGCGGCAGCGGCAGAGGCAGAAGCAGAACAGGCAGCAGCGAGGGCTGGCACGGTGAGGAGAAGTGCCTGGCAGGGCCGAGGCGGGGTTTGCAGCAGGCAATGCGGAACAGCGGTCAGTAGGATTGGAAACTGGGCTTTTGTTTTCATACTAATTTGGACTCATTGGTCTCTTCAGATGTGTTCTTTGTATCTGCTTGGACCAAACCTCAAATTGGGGGCGGTGCTGGTGGCAGGTGAGGACAGGTTGGAGAACTGACAGGTTCGTGAAACCGAGGTTGTGAAACCGAGGTTGTGAAACCGAGGTTGTGAAACCGAGGTTGTGAAACCGAGGTTGTGAACCCGAGGTTGTGAAACCGAGGTTGTGAAACCGAGGTTGTGAAACCGAGGTTGTGAAACCGAGGTTGTGAAACCGAAGTTGTGCAACCAAGGTTGTGAAACCGAGGTTGTGAACCCGAGGTTGTGAAACCGAGGTTGTGAAACCGAGGTTGTGAAACCGAGGTTGTGAACCCGAGGTTGTGAAACCGAGGTTGTGAAACCGAGGTTGTGAACCCGAGGTTGTGAACCCGAGGTTGTGAACCCGAGGTTGTGAAACCGAGGTTGTGAAACCGAGGTTGTGAAACCGAGGTTGTGAAACCGAGGTTGTGAAACCGAGGTTGTGAAACCGAGGTTGTGAAACCGAGGTTGTGAAACCGAGGTTGTGAAACCGAAGTTGTGCAACCAAGGTTGTGCAACCGAGGTTGTGAACCCGAGGTTGTGAAACCGAGGTTGTGAAACCGAGGTTGTGAAACCGAGGTTGTGAAACCGAGGTTGTGAAACCGAGGTTGTGAACCCGAGGTTGTGAAACCGAGGTTGTGAACCCGAGGTTGTGAACCCGAGGTTGTGAACCCGAGGTTGTGAAACCGAGGTTGTGAAACCGAGGTTGTGAACCCGAGGTTGTGAAACCGAGGTTGTGAAACCGAGGTTGTGAACCCGAGGTTGTGAACCCGAGGTTGTGAAACCGCGGTTGTGAAACCGAGGTTGTGAAACCGAGGTTGTGAAACCGAGGTTGTGAACCCGAGGTTGTGAAACCGAGGTTGTGAAACCGAGGTTGTGAACCCGAGGTTGTGAAACCGAGGTTGTGAAACCGAGGTTGTGAAACCGAGGTTGTGAAACCGAGGTTGTGAAACCGAGGTTGTGAAACCGAGGTTGTGAAACCGAGGTTGTGAAACCGAGGTTGTGAAACCGAGGTTGTGAAACCGAGGTTGTGAAACCGAGGTTGTGAAACCGAGGTTGTGAAACCGAGGTTGTGAAACCGAGGTTGTGAACCCGAGGTTGTGAAACCGAGGTTGTGAAACCGAGGTTGTGAAACCGAGGTTGTGAACCCGAGGTTGTGAAACCGAGGTTGTGAAACCGAGGTTGTGAAACCGAGGTTGTGAAACCGAGGTTGTGAAACCGAGGTTGTGAAACCGAGGTTGTGAAACCGAGGTTGTGAAACCGAGGTTGTGAAACCGAGGTTGTGAACCCGAGGTTGTGAAACCGAGGTTGTGAAACCGAGGTTGTGAAACCGAGGTTGTGAACCCGAGGTTGTGAAACCGAGGTTGTGAAACCGAGGTTGTGAAACCGAGGTTGTGAAACCGAGGTTGTGAAACCGAGGTTGTGAAACCGAGGTTGTGAAACCGAGGTTGTGAAACCGAGGTTGTGAAACCGAGGTTGTGAAACCGAGGTTGTGAAACCGAGGTGCTGGTGGCAGGTTAGGACAGACAGGTTGTGAAACCGAGAGGAGGCCACTGTGGGCTTGAGAGGAGAACTGACGAGGGCGAGAGGCGAGAGCTATGGAGTGCTTCCTGGGCAGTCTCCTCCACAGCTCTCGCCTCCTGGGCAGTCTCCTCTCCTCCACAGCTCTCGCCTCCTGGGCGGGGCGAGAGCTGTGGAGGAAATCAAAGTCTGGCCTGCCCAGGAAGCACTGCACCTGCTTCCTGAGCAGTGCGACTGCACCTTCAGTCCCCGTACATTGTGTGCCTTGAGTGTGACTGTCCTCCCCCATTACTTCCATACTCCCCTCCCTGCCCCACACCTCATCTTCTCCTTGCTTACCACCATCCCCCAATTCATCTTCATCTATAATGTCACCACATTGAAGCGGCTCCACCACACCTCACCTCTCCCCCACACACCTAGACTTGCAACTGGCAACTCCAGCCGCCCCTCCTGTCCTGACCCATGCACTCCACCTGCTCTAATCCACGCACCATTCGTTGCCATCCACTCCACACTGTCCCCCGCCCACCCCTGAGCTTGCCTTCCTCCCCTTGGCACGCACTGCCAAGCACCTCTCTCATACTCATCGCCAGCCTCTCCCTTGCTGCCGCGAACCCTGCACTGTGCACTGTCCCCTGCACGCCGACTCAAAGGCACGTTACACCTCTGAGACTCCACCCAGTTCCCGTTTGCACGCACACCGTAGCATGGCGTCAGCATGGTTGCTAGCAGCACCATCACTGCCACTGGAGCCATTCGCCAGCCCCCGCAGTCCCCCCCAGGAACTCTGTGCGTCAGTCCCCCCCAGGCACTCAGTGCGTCAGTCCCCCCCAGGCACTCTGTGCGTCAGTCCCCCCCAGGCACTCTGTGCGTCAGTCCCCCCCAGGCACTCTGTGCGTCAGTCCCCCCCAGGCACTCTGTGCGTCAGTCCCCCCCAGGCACTCTGTGCGTCAGTCCCCCCCAGGCACTCTGTGCGTCAGTCCCCCCCAGGCACTCTGTGCGTCAGTCCCCCCCAGGCACTCTGTGCGTCAGTCCCCCCCAGGCGCCCTTGGGCGTGAGTGGGAGGGCGGCTTTCCTCTCGGCTCGCGCCACTGGTTGTGAGTGGGAGGGCGGCAACCTTGCTCCAGCAGGCGCCGCGCCTACAGCAGCAGTGACGCTATGGCTGTGGCGTTGCGTGCTGTGGCGTTCCGTGCTGTGCTGCCAGAGCCCCTCCAATAAGATAACAGCGCTGCACTCTCTGCCTCCCATGATTGCACCGCACTACGCGCCCCTGCAAGTGTGCACCCTGCCACCACACATGCACCACACACGCACCACACACACACCACATATGCACCACACACGCACCACACACGCACCACACACGCACCACACACACACCACACGCACCACACACGCACCACACATGCACCACACATTCACCACACACGCACCACACACGCACCACACACACACCACACACACACCACACGCACCACACACGCACCACACACGCACCACACACGCACCACACATTCACCATACACACACCACACACGCATGCCATGTGGGGGATAAGGATGAAGCAAAAGAGAGGCTTCATAATTGAGGGTCACGCAGCCAGGGCATAAAGGGGAAGCAGGGCAGGTGGAGGCAAGGCGCAATAGGATGTGGAAGTGGACAGAGGCGCACCTTGCGTTCTCTCCCAGCGTGTTTTCAGTCGACTCAAAACGTGGACAGCGGCGCACCTTGCGTTCTCTCCCAGCGTGTTTTCAGTCGACTCAAAACGTGGACAGAGGCGCACCTTGCGTTCTCTCCCAGCGTGTTTTCAGTCGACTCAAAACGTGGACCGAGGCGCACCTTGCGTTCTCTCCCAGCGCGTTTTCAGTCGACTCAAAACGTGGACAGAGGCGCACGTTGCGTTCCCTCCCGGCTGAGAAAGTGTTGGTGCCACGCCACCCCGCTACGCTACAAGTGCCACCCATGCCATTGTCACGCCCCTTGTCAACCGGCACGGGGTCAGCCTCTCAGTGCCCCTGCCCATGCCCCCATGGTGCGTGTGTTTAACGCCGGTCCATGCCCCTGCCCCTGCTCATGCCCATGCCCCTGCCCCTGCCCCTGCCCATGCCCATACCCCTGCCCATGCCCATGCCCATGCCCATGCCCATGCCCATCCCCATGCCCATGCCCATGCCCATGCCCCTGCCCCTGCCCCATGCCCATGCCCATGCCCATGCCAATGCCTGTGCCCATGCCCCTGCCCCATGCCCATGCCCATGCCCATGCCCATGCCCATGCCCATGCCCATGCCTGTGCCCATGCCCATGCCCATGCCTGTGCCCATGCCCATGCCCATACACAAAGAAGAAGGGATAGGACTCACATCACTGGCGTGCACCACTGGCGTGCACCACTGGCGTGCACCACTGGCGCGCACGAACCCACCTTCCATGACACTCTCCACTTCTGACGCGCCCTCGCCTTGCCAATGCGACGCCGCCTCCGCTCCTCCTTCTCCTTCTCCGCCTCACGCACTTCCTCTTTCCACCGTGCCAGCTTGCCGCCCTTCCGCCTGCCACCCCGCACCCGCAGCTCCGAGTCGTCTCGTGCCTCATCCCCGCCACCACAACGGCCCATTATAACCCCGGATCGTCAACCGGTCAGAGCCCTATTCCCTGGCCAATGTGCCTCGCGCCATCCCTGCCCACGGCTTGCGCCTCCTGTGTGTATGCTCTCCACCGCCATCACAACCTCTTCATGAACGTCTCGTCCGCACTGCTGTGTGCACTGCCAACCAACATCACCACCTCATCTGCGCCCCTCCCCACTGCTCCCCGCCCACCCTTGCCTCCCCTCTCCGCATCTTTCCCCCCCACCGCTGCTGCTGTAACTGCAGCGCCCCTCACTGTGCACTGCCCTGCACCTCTTGTCACCTCCGTACTGACCTTCTTGCTGGGGAGGAGGTCAGTGGGGCTGCTACCCCCTCTTGCTGCCCTGGGCGCGGCAAGCTCTCCATGCCATGCGCGCGCCACACTACTAGTGTAGGACGGCACGCATAGGGGGAAGGGGACGGGGAAGAGACAGCCAAGTGGGAACAGAAGCAATGGAGGCAGTAAGGAGTGATGTGAGAGGCTGAGGGACAAGGGGTCCTGAGAGGCTGAGGAACAAGGGGTCCTGAGGGGCTGAGGAACAAGGGGTCCTGAGGGGCTGAGGAACAAGGGGTCCTGAGGTAGCAGAGGTGCTTCACAGTGGCGATTCCGCCCATTTCGCACCTGGCTATAATGGCTGCCAATAATAACCGCCAGTGCTCCTCGCTCTGCTACCTCCCCACCTCCTCACCGCACCCCACTTCCCGCCCCTTCTGCCGCTCCCCTAGCGCTCTCCCCAGAAAGCCTCCTCTCCCTCTCGCTCGCTCCCACCCGCAATGCCATTGCCACGGCCCTTGTCGACCGGCACAGCGCCACCCAACCTCTTTCCGTGCCCTCCTGCCGGTGGTGCAACAGTGTGCAGCCCATGGCGTGTGTGTGTGTTTACTGCTAGCCCGTGCTTGTGTCCATGCCCATGCCCATGCCCATGCCCATGCCCATGCCCATGCCCATGCCCATGCCCATGCCCATGCCCGTGCCCGGGCCGCACCTCGTCTGCGTACACCACATGCGCGTGTGCTTACTGCTGCACCGCACCACCTTTTGAGACGAATCAAAAGTATGCCGCCCCTTGTCCGCGTGCACCTCGTCCGCGCGCACCACGTCCGCGTGTGTTTACTGCTGCACCGCACAACCTTGCAATCAACCGCCAGCCAGCTCTGCTCGCCCGTCCGCACAAGCTCGCGGTCAGTCCGCATGAGGTGACCACCGCCAGGCGCTCATGATTCTTGATGCTGCGATGCCGCACACAAGCGCATGCCCCCCCGGATGAGCGAGCATGCCTCCGCGCTGCACGCAGGAGAGGGGACAGAGGGGAAGAGGTGCGCGGGGAGAGGGCAAGGGGCAGAGGGCAAGGGGGAGAGGGCATGGGGCAGAGGCCATGGGCCATGGGGCATGGGGCAGAGGGCAAGGGGGAGAGGGCAAGGGGCATATAGTTCGCCGGGATATGCAGGAGAGGGAAGTGTGGGGTGTTCATCAAGTGAGGAGAATTTGGTTTTAGGTTACGCACTTCTTTTTTTGCTCCCTCGCAAATCTTCGCACGCACCTCTGAAAAGGGCACACAGAAGGAGGGATACCAGGGTAGTATCCGCAGAAGGCAGCGGGAGCAGCACAACAGAAAGGGGCAGCGGGTGGCGGCGACAGGGCAGCGAGTCAGTCAGCGAGTCAAGCGCAAGCAAGGTGGGGTGAGGGCAAGAATCGCAAGACGGCACAAGTCAAGTGAAGCGCGCGTCAGGGCCGCACCGCACCATCCCAAAAATGCATGGAAGCTAAACCTACTTCGAAGCTAATTGGTAGTTACTTTGTGGTTGGTGTTGAGAAATCAGCTCTGTAGTTACTGGCGAACATACTGAACCACGGGATGCGAGGCTTGGGGCCTCCCGAACGTAAACCTTCTGGAAAGTTACTTGCAGGCTGGAACGAAAGTGTTATCAGCGAAAGGCCCGATCAGTTGGGAAGTCTCACGAGAAGGTGTAACTCAGCATGAGCGAACGGCTTCGTCGCATTTCATTTGTTCGTGATTTCTATCAGCAGTGATTGCGATCGTTTTCATTGGTCGAAATCAATGTAGGTTGATGGCCGCGCCTAATCACAGCATTTCGCGCGTAATAGTGTCAGTTGGCTCTGGCGTTTTGTTATTGGTGTTGGGTTTGGGAGAGAATAGCTCATGTCAGATGATGTCAAATCCCTCGCGTTATCTCAGCCGTCCTATATTCGACAGGTGTCCGAAAATTGAGAGTTTGCTCCACACATTTCGGAATGTACATGGTCACGTGGACGTTCAGACGAACGCCACTTTGGCAAGAAAGTAGTGGTGAATAACTTACCACAATTCGTAACAGTTACGTTGTTACTTGGCGCGTTACATTTGACAGTTAGTGCACTTTCATATAGGCATATATCAAAATGTAAATCATAACCTACAAATGAAATAATCATTTTGAATTACTATGAATTGGTATTAGGAATTATATACTAATGATAATGTTTATTGGTAGTTAGATATTATTAAAAGCAAATTACAAACTAGGTCTAAAAACATCAATTAGCAGAATCTAAAAACGCATGCACAAAAGCACACTCACACAAACTACAGCAAACTACCTAGAGTTGGGCCGACACACACACTTGCACTCTACGCGTTAGGCACTCATACACTGCAACCGTCTTAACATTAGGGGACCTGCAATCCCGGCAGCCTCTTGTGAAAGTAGAAACGTGAATGAATGAACTATGAATGAAATGAGTACAAATATGAAACCATAATTGGGTTGTACCCCTTATGGGATACCCCACTATAGCCTACACAAATAAGTAAGCTATAATGTTCTGACACACCCCCATAGGCAAAGTGGAGAGAACAAGGGGTCACAAGACCAGTCAGACAACGCAAAGCAAAGCTCAGGGTGGATCACAAAGTCACCACACATTCCGAGCACAAGTTCAAGGGCCACAAGGCCAGTTCACATGCAAGATCAAATATAGAGAATTACAAGAGTCAAGCAAGCAAGAGCAAGAGTATATATAGGTGAAGGTACAAGCAAGGTCAAGAAGTGAGCAAGTGAGGCAAGACAGGCACAAGACCCAGCTGCGTGCAGCAACGCTGATGATCACAAGGCACAAGTGCCTTGGTGAAGACATCAGCGGTGTTGGCCTCAGAGGCCACGTACACAAGTCGCAACTGTCCACGCTGCTGTAGCTCACGAGCAAGAAAGTAGCGGAGAGCAATGTGCTTTGTCCTGTGCTCCAGTCGCAGCTCTCGACACAAGGCCAGCATGGCCTTGTTGTCTACGTACAGGACTGGAGGAGAACTAGGCGGCTCTCAAAGGTCGGTCAGCAGGTAGGTGAGCCAGCGAAGCTCCTGAGCAGCCATAGCCCCGGCGTAGATCTCAGCCTCACAACTGGAGCCGAGAACAGAAGACGAGCGGGTAGCCCGCCACGAAACAGAGCCGGAACCAAGGCTGAAGGTGTAACCCTGTGACGACCGCTGCGTAGCCTGGTCGTCAGCCCACGAAGCGTCCGCGTGCCCAGTGAGGACCACTGGACTGCGCCCTCCAAGCACTAGCCCCATGCCCGACGTATTGCACAAGTAGCGCAACACCGTCTTCGCTGCAGCCATGTGCTCTGGTCGGTGTCTCCCAGGAGCAACATAGCATGCGAGAATGCTAAGAGGGTATGCAAGGTCAGGTCGTGTGCAGGTCATCAGGTACATGAGGCAGCCAACAAGCTCTGCATACGGACCAATCGACTCTACGGACTCATCCGAAGGCAGAGCTGAGAGCGAGTGGCGAGTAGGCAGAGGAGTGGCCTGAGGCAAGGAATACGTGAAGCCGAAGCGCTGAAGGACCTGCTGCACCATGTGTGACTGAGTCAAGGTAATGGTGCGGCGTGCTCTGTCGCGGGTGATCTGCAAGCCAAGGTAGCTGCGCAGTTCACCCAGGTCTGTGCACGTGTGTCTCTTCTGCCGCTCGGACTTCACGTAGGCGAGTCCAGCAGTGTCAGCTGTGGCAAAGACCAAGTCGTCGACGTAGACGAGGATGTAGAACGGCGGCAGAGAGGTGTCGGTGCGCAGAAACAGCGACGGGTCGGCAGTAGAAGGAGCAAACCCAAGTGCCGCCAGCGTAGTCCTCAGTGTGTCGTGCCACTCACGTGGCGCCTGGCGGAGACCGTAGACTGGACGCCGGAGACTCCACTGGGTACCAGGAGGGAAAGACCCAGTGAAGCCAGGTGGGCGACGCAGCCAGATCTCCTCGTGCAGGCTGCCCTGCAAGAAAGCGGTGCTGAAGTCGAGAGAGTGCAGCTCGTAGTCACGGTGAGCAGCAACGTGCAGCAGTACCCGAAGAGTGGTCATCTTCGGGGTGGGGGAGAAGGTCTGAAAGTAATCAACTCCCTGCCGCTGACTGAAGCCACGAGCCACGTAACGCGCCTTGAAGACAGGCGGAGAACCCGGCGGCCGCTTCACCCTGAAAATCCACATGCCACTGACGATGTTCGCCCCAGGAGGGGGAACAACGTCAACGTAGGTGCCTGTGGACTTCCAGGAAGCCATCTCTGCATCCATAGCTGCCTGCCACTGAGAGGAGTAGGGACCCTCTATCGCCTCCGCGTAAGAGCGCGGAGTCGGGATGTCTAGTGCATCCGGGTCTCCCTTAGGGACTAGTAGTACAGGCGCGAGATGAGGTGAAGCGGCGGCCAGGCACTGGAACTCCTCCTGCCTGTCCTCAAGGACGTCCGTGCCAAGGGCACACTCACCCCCGACGGACGGAGGACAGGCAGACTCAGACTCAGCGACAAGACTAGCAGCGTAGTCTAGACGACAGCGCGCAGCAAAGTCGACGAGCTCAGTGACAAGGGCAGACGCAGCAGATGACTCAAAAGAAGGGTCGGTGACAGCAGTAGCAAGGAGACGCGTGACAGTAGGACTGGCAGCACGAAGAGAGTCCGACGCCGGGTCGGCAAGAGCAGGAAGAGAGGAAGTAGGAGGAGAAGGCAACGGGACACGCAGAGGAGCAGTGGACGGACGCAGAGACATCCGGTGCGTGCCAGGGACAGGAGGAGGACGCTGACGTGAACCGCGGCCACTAGTGCGTGGAGGACGGACAGGCGACGCAGGACGAGACGCAGGCTCACGACGCTCAGTAAGACCTCCAGTCGGACCAGCGTAGGGAGAAGGAGCAGGCAAAGGGGAGGCAGGCTGTAGCTGTGACTGGGACTGGACAGGCTGTGGACCCTCTAAGGGAGGAGGAGGAGGACCAGGAGAAGGTGGAAGACCAAGAACCTGCTGCACGAGCGGAACGAAGTACGGTCGGGGCCGCGTGGCGACACCAGAGACAGTAGGGACAGCACCAGTACCCCCAGCAGGAGTACCCGCTCCAGCAGCACCTCCAGCAGCTCCAGAACCCCCAGCAGCACCAGGAGCACTGCCACTCGGACCGCCACCAGTAGACTCAGCGCCAACACCCTCAGCAGCACCAGCTCCAGGAGGACCCTCAGGCCCAGCAGCTCCAGCACCCACAGCACGAGCACCTTCGGGACGCGCGGCAGCAGCACCCTCTGCAGCCGAAGAACCTCCAGCACCAGCAGCACGCCTCCAGCGCCGGGCAAACCACTCACATAGCTCCTGTGGGGAGAGTGGCTCCCGGCGAGACGAAGCACCTCTAGGCGGAGCACCCCCAGTCTCAGCACCTCCAGGCTCAGCACCCCCAGGCACAGCACCCCCAGGCTCGGCACCCCCAGGCTCAGCACCCCCAGGCTCAGCACCCCCAGGCTCAGCACCCCCAGACTCC